AATACGCCTGGGAACCGACTATACTTATCACGCGAAGTCGTTTTTAGATTCAGCATACCAACTAAAATCATTTCTACATGAATTTCGGCAAAATGCAAATATTTGGAAGCAAGTAGTCGATCAGGCCGAGCTCTGTCGCAGTTAACGCATTGCCATTGCGTAGCGTTCACTTTCGCTATAGGGGCGGGGCAATCTGTGCAGCGCATGCGATTTGCTTGCGTCTCGCACAAGCTATCGTTAATCTTGACTGCCACCAGCAATACACTCCAATCCTTGACCAATGGCAACATTGTATTATGTTCCCGTTATTTATGATATGCAATCACACTGAGTACACAATAACGCGCACTCCACTATGCTACATTGCTGCACTATGATTATGAACAAATTCGAAGAAAGGTACACTTTGTTCATTGTTTCAGAGCTGTTCTTTTGCTAGGAAAAACTTGCATAATTTTAGAAAATAATAGAGCAGAGGTATGGCCAGATAATTATGGTCATAATGGCTGCACATTTCGGTGCAGCCATTATGACCATAGTTATCTGGCCATACCTCTGCTCTATTAATTTTCTAAAATTCCATCTGATCGCTGTACAAAAAATTCATCTGGAAATCGTTTTCAGCAACCGCAGACGTACACGACTGCCCCGGCAGTCATTCAGATGGCCCCTGCTATAGCTACTACATGGACTGCTGCACCTCCCACCAGATTCAGCTCGTACAGTGAAGCCGGAAGTAATGTTAAAGGGTTAAATTCACCAACGTTGCATCAAGGTACTGCCATTTCAAGCAGCGTGAAATTTTTCTACTGAAAAATATTGCTTTGAAGGGTCCTATGAACCCTATTTGGCTCCAAACACCTATAGACTGTATACGATGCGTTTTTGTCCATATGCTGAGCGAATGGTGATTTACGTAGCAAAGAAAAATATCCCGTAAGTTTTTTTCATGCTTTTGCAGAAAAGATCAACAGATAAAGCTTAGAGGTTTCAGTATTGGAAAAAAAGAAATTAAGCAAATAAAACATAAACTCCTTTATTTTAGCATCGAAATCGTGAATGTTAACCCTGACAAAGGACCGAGCTGGTATTTGGCAAAGTCTCCACTTGGCAGTGTACCTTCTCTAGAAATCAATGGAAACGTGGGTACAGTGTGAACATGCAGTTTTCTTTACCTGGTCGGCGCGTGCGCATTGGTTAGATACATAGAGTCACGGCCCTGGTCACCTTCACCATTGAAAGGGGCTAAGAACTGATTTCGCTAGGAGCCTCACTTAACAGAGTTCAAAAGAGTTGGAGTAGTCAAGGTCCAGGGCGGAGCCCCAGATATTGGTTTTTCTACACACTAGAAGTTTGAAGATGGAGAACTATAAGACCACTAGAGGGAAGAAATTTTCACTTTATTAATAACGAAATAAGTTTAAGATATCGTAGTACATAAGAATTGTGGATTTTAGGGACAATGAGGAGTTTTCTCCATGAAAAATGAAAAGGTGTGGTATGGAAGTTAGAAGTTGAGGTTGAGAAGGTCACAAAGTGTGAGGAGTAGGTGCTGTATTTGCCCTCAAGGCATTTGATGTGTCTAAGAACTTTGAAAGGCATGCATCGTCGGAAGTGATAGTTACTATGACTTAGAATTAAACTATAGAAGCACGTACATCAAATAGCCTTGAGTAGTGAAAATCAAGAGAATATAGAGAATAATTCGTTATGATGGAACTTGTAAAAGTTGTGCAGTTGTCAGCTGGATTCTCCATAAGATTTTGAGCAGAATGATTCATGAATGTTGGGAGTTTCGTTGAGTAGAATCCCTCAAAATTACGCAACCAAGCGTCTCCCACGGGTTCGGCTCTGGTGCCCTTTTCTCCGTTCTTTGCAAATTAATGTAAGCAAATCGTATATCATTATGAAGGTC